TATATATATATATATATATATCTCCAATCAAGGATTAGTATTCAGAATATAAAGAAATAATACAAAATAAATTTTTAAAAATTCAACAGAAAAATGAGCAAAGGATATAAACAGGCAATTTCCAAAAAAGGATATAAAAGTGACCAATAAATGTGTGAGTATATGCTCAACCTCAATAGCAATCAGGGGCATATAAATCAAAATAACAAGACACCATCTCATACACACTGGACAAGTAAAAATGAAAGTCTATCAGTACCATGGTAACTACTGACATTCAGACCCTAAAGTTAGCAATGGGAGCTCTTTGAAGTTAGATGTGGTCACATGACTTGCTTTGGCCAACTAAATGCGAACAGAAGGGATGTGTCACTTTTGTGCAGAAACGTGAGCTGGTGGCTCTTTTCCCTGCCTCACAGCAGCACATGTCAGGCTGGAGTCTCCGCAGCCCAGGCCCTGAGTGACTCCGCTGAACTGCACTGCTGGCGCGCACTGCACTCGCAGCATGAATGAGAAATAAACCTTTGAATCAAGCCACTGAGATTTTTGTGATGGTTGTTTATTGTGGCAAAATTTAGTTATCCTGACTGATATAACCTTACTTGCTGGTGAAGAAGCGAACAGCAGGGAATCTCACATACTGCTGGCAGGAGTCTAAGCTGCTGCATCCCTGGAGAAAAGCTTGGAAACGGTTAGTCAGCTTGACGATGTGCACACCCTTCAATCCATGTATGCACAGGATAATGATCCAAAACTTTTACTGCAGTTTTAAGAAAAAAAATTGAAAATAACCTCAATGTCCATCAATAGGATATGGATAAATACATTTTGGTAGATTCATATAGATTATTATAGAGGAAACAAAATAAATAAATCTAAGCTATCTGTCTTAAAATATTTAAATCTCAAAAACATAACTTAGAGTCTAAAAAATCATAGGAGATGTACAGTATGAGTTCATTAAAGTTTAAATAGTACATTATGTTGTAGATACATAATATATGTAGTAAAAGTATAATGACAGGCATGGGCATAAAAAGTATAATGGACAGGCATGGCTGGTGTGGCTCAGTATGTCCTGTGCAACAAGAGGTCGCTGGTTCAAATCTTGGTCAAGGCACATGCCCAGGTTTTGGGCTTGATCCCCAGTAGGGGGCATGCAAGAGGCAGTTGATTGATGTTTCTCTCCCTTTCCCTTTCTCTCTCAAATCAATAAAACATTTAAAAACATACAACAACAACAACAACAGAAACCCACATTAGCTTCAGGGAAGTGTTTACTTCTGGGAAAGGAAGTTGGAAGCAGAATCATCTATAATAGGGTGAAGATACTTGGAATGTTTCATTTCTTATAAAAAATGTATATCATGTTATTATGTCAAAATACTGAGGAGTGAGTACCTGGATGTTTGTTGTATTATCTGTACTTTTCTGTTGACTTTAAATATTTAATAATAATTAGAAAATATAGGCAAGCAAAAAGGAAAAGAGCACCCATATCTCTACCTCCCCCGCCCCATCCGTGGAATAACCTCTGTTACCATTTTGGTATAAATCTGCCCAATGCTCTCCTGTGTCTTTGTGTCTCTCGTGCCCGGACAGGGAGGAGCAGGCGTCAGGTCCTTGGATAACTGCAGCGAGGACAGGGCACGGCGCTGAGCAGGCTGGGTAATCTGCTGAATCTCAGTGATAATTTACTGGTACAGAGGATGTACGTTTGCTAAGTAAAATATTTACAAAAAGGAGAAACATGATTTAATATTTAAGAATCTATATTAGTTCACTTCCCATCACTTATTTTTAGTCACACTATTTAAACATTTTCCCCCTCAATTTTTCAGAATGATTAGAGCTTTCTAAATGCTTATAATGCATACAGAATAAATACACAACAGCCTGAGAATAGACAATTCTGGCCCTGAGCAACTTCACTGTACAAGTGGTGTTCCTTGTTCTTTTTCTGATTTTTCTTTCTTTTTTTCTCACTTGTCTTCTAGGGTCCTTTATGTATTTTAGCTGTACTTTACCTTACCAGCTCTTTTTCCTATATTCTGTTTTCTTCTACAAATAATCCACATATGCACACTTGCTAAGGAAGAGTAAACATAAAGGAAATTATGTGATTTTAAGCAATGGTTTCTTTACACTTCAGCGCCACCTTGTGACAGTATTCTGGTATCAGAATCTATGCTTTCCTGAAAAAAAAATTTTTTTTAATACTCCTGAACATTTCCTGCCCAGGCTTGCTGTGTTAGTCACTTAACGACATCATGTCACATAGCAGTATGGTTCTCAACCTTCTGTACAGAGAGTCACCTGGTGACCTTTAAAAATGCCAACACTAGGCCTCACTCCAGAACCACCGTGAGAAAGGCTTCAACATTGATTCGTTGGACAAAATAAGATGTCATTGAAGGAGCAGTCAGCTCCTTTACTTACTGGGGGAAAGTAAGCTCTCTTCCCTGATTATGTAACCACATACACTCACAGTCTTGTGACTACTTACAGTCAGAAGTAAATACACTTTAGAGATCCCATCATGCGTTTGTACCTGATGTAAAATAATTCTGACAGTTGCCTACATTTGTTGCTGAAGCTTTTCTTTCTCAAATTTTTATTTTTAATTTCTCAAATTTTGGGGTTTTTTATTTTTCTTTCTCAAATTTTTAAACAAATCCTCATCATTTTAATGGTCAATAACTTCTGGTTGGCTTAGTATTTTTAATTTGGGAAAATATATTAACTACAAACAATCACAGAGTCTAAAACAATAACCCACCATTCAAAACTAACAAATATGAAACTGTCATGTTTGTTTCAATTATTTATATAATATAGTTGACCCTTGAATAACACGGGTTTGAACTGCATTGTTCTACTCATACTCAATTTTTTTTTCAATAAGTATAGTAAGTGTATTTTTCTCTTCCTTATGATTTTCTTAATGTTTTCTTTTCTGTAGCTCATTTTTTTTGAAGAATACAGTATCCTATCTAATAAAGAGGGAATACGCTCACTGACCCTCACACTGACACAAAGATGGCGGCTCCCACAGCCAATAAGGAGGGAATATGCTAATTGCCTGCCCCGCCCTCAAAGATGGCAGCGCCCACAGCCACAAGATGGCGGCGCCCAGTCCTCTCAGCCCCGCCAGGGCGCCTGCCTCCAGAGTTCCCTCAGTCTCAGCCCCCCAGGGCTGGCCTGAGGCGCAGGCAAGCCTCAGATGGTGGCTGCCCAGCTGCCCAGGGATGCCCGAGGCGCAGGTAACCAGGGCTGGCCAAAGCTTGTGCTGCCGGCAGTGGCAGCAGCAGAGGTGTGATGGGGCGTTGCCTGCCCCTGAGGGCTCCCAGACTGTGAGAGGGGGCAGGCCAGGCTGAGGGACGCCCCCTCCAGTGCACGAATTTTCATGCACCGGGCCTCTGGTATAATACATAAAGCATAAAATGTTAATCAACTTTACATTATTGCTAGGGCTTCTTTTCAGGGGGTTTGAGCCCTAACTCCCACATTGTCCTGGGAATCATCTACACTAATAAAAGACAAAGATGCTAATGGACTGTACCTTTGCTATGCCCTAAGCCACACCCACCAGCCAATCAGAGCGACTATATGCAAATTAACCCAACCAAGATAGCGGCCAGCAGCCACGGAGCTGGAGCAAGCAGGAGGCTTGGTTGCCCAGGTGATGGAGGAAGCCAAGCTTCTCGCCTGCCTGAACCGGCTGTGGCCTCCGCTCATGGCAACAAAGTTTCAATTATAGAAGACAAATAAATCCCAGATACCTGCTTCCAGCCAGCCTCCACTGGGAGCTTGGGTGGCTGGGGG